GTACTAAACGGCTTTTTTCAATAACAGAAGTAGAGGTAAGATTATAGGACATGCTGGACAACATAAAAATGTAAGTCCCTGGTAACCAATACAAATCGATATCTATAGTAACCACACCATGGTTTTTAACTTGTCACCCCTAGATTTCTAGTAAAGCTGGCTGTAGGAACAACGTACTTCGGCTCATGACCGATAAGACACACCTTCAAATGGATAGTCACTAGCAAGGTCTTGCATCTAAAATTTCTTCTACAAGTTTCATCCTACAACGGTATTCTTATCTAGCTATTTAAACAGTGCCAAATGTATCTTGGCCGTCATCGTCAAATTGCTCGTATACGGGAGTGGTTGATCAAGCTGCATAACATCTTGCCATCTCTAATTGTGTGCTTCAGCTCGTTCACTGACACCGTTTTTTCTTCTGTCTTTTTTTTTCCTGCTTATGCTGCAAAGCGACACAGAGCGAATTTAGATGTTAGGAAAACAATTAAAAGATGGCGAAAAATATTGGAGATAAATGTTCAATAAATTGTGCAGCTGGAAATGAATGATTCTAGGAAATGTCAATCAAGCTATTAGAGGCTGTAACTTTCCAAAGGTAAATGCTCAAGATAAGAAGAGGAGACACACTTTAAAGCCACGACAAACCCTCTGCCAATAGTGTGCTTTCTCTGTCTCTCTTTATGGCCTTTTCATAATCATTATGACTGTTTTATTTTACGTTGTCTATGCCTCATTCAAAACATTAAGGTAAATCATGTTAGCTCTTCAACGAATTGTAATCATTCTTGAAACTAGATATCTGAGGCCACAAGGAATTTCTTGGCTCGTCTGCCCATTATTCAATGTTCGATTCAAAATGTAAATTCTTGTTATATGTAACGTGCTGGATTTCTTTTTTCTAATCACCCAATGGCTATTATATAAGATGTTCATTTTATAAAATATATTTTTTTCCTCTCCTGCAATTTTTTTTGTGAGGCTTTATACATCTGACAATTTTCATATGCGTAGATAACTCAACTGCTCTGGTTGTCCAGATTGAACCCTCTTGACTTTAACTGCATATTTAATAAAACATAGATCTGATAACAAATACTCTAAAACATCGTACGGTAGGTCGTTGTTTCGCCATATATACACTGACATTTAAAGATATTTATATGGCGTGTCCAAATCTCTATCTAGTGCATTTACTTCTATATGTTCTTACTTATCTATACCTGGAAATACATTTTGCATTTTACTACAACTTAACGGGTTCAACAAAATTTGTCAGTATCAATAGATTTGAAAAATAAATATTGTCAAAAGAAATTAAACACTTGCTAATGTTTATGCTTTAAGCTAGTCATGAGTTCACACTTGTTTGGAAATCAGTGTCAGAAAATTTGCAAATTATGGCATGCAAGAAAAATGTATGTATCACAAACAGTGAGAAAATATAAACTCTTTGTTTCAAACGTATATGTCCGTGCAATACTATTAATTATGCACCTGGGAGCAATGTTTTTTTGTTTTGTTTTTAGCAGCAATTCTTGAGCGACGTCTTCATATAAGTATGAAACTAATTATTCTGAGCGACCAGATTTTATTCTTATATTTATTTATTTGCTCTCTGAGAACTACACTTGTCTTGTAAACGATACTGAAATGAAAGAATAAAATATTACAATGTTACATCATATAAGCATTTGCACGGTAATCTACACCGTAGGAGACAATAATCATTATAAATTATATCACATTAAAAAGAAAACTAATTATATTTACACACAAAATTGCCATCAACCTGTTTTGAAAAACAAAGGTGGTTTGCGGAAGACTGACCACTGAACATGTTAGTAGTGATTAATAAGTACATAGGTTGGGCAAGCCGCAGTGATGTAGCGGCTAGACGCAGATCAAAAGTTTGTGGGTTTAGATCCTGATGTACCAGGACTACTTTTCAAATATAACTTTTGCTCCCATGTCGACCCAGCTTCAAACAGGTACCAGGTACAATCCTGGGAAAGAAACGTGGCCGGCGTGATATCACTTATACAGTGCTAACTGGTTTATAAAATGGGGGTCTAGCCCTATATGCCCAATACTCCTGAAGCCGTGAAAAATGTTCCTTTACTGAATGTATGAACGTAAAGAAAAAGTCCTTTATTTTCGTTTCCTTTATATAGATTCTGCAGAGACAGGTAATTACAGTAGGGAAGAAATATTTAAAATAAAACATTCTGAGCACATTAAATGATACAATACTGCTATAAATGCCACACTAGAGACTGATGGCGGGCTACCAGTCTGGAAAATTTAAAGGATAGGATAAGGAAATAAACACAAAAATCTGAAGAGTATTTAATTACGGAAAGACACAGAGAGCTATAACGATCATAGTGAAGATATGAGTAATTAAACAAACCAGATTAATTTTTACGCTGATGTGTATTTCAACAAAAGCCAGCGTAGCTTCACTTTAATTCACTTTATTTTGCAGCATCAGTACACAGAGTACCGGAGTCTGTACGAACTACGCTCAATCAAGATCGTACTTAAGATATGTGCAGCAGGCACAGTTGCCCAGGTTAGACAAATTTTGGCACAACACAATTATTGGAGCTGCCATATGCAAAAAATAAAGTGTATTTTTTAAAAAGGGTCTCTATTACTCTAATTTTTTAATGAAAGTTTCGCCCTAGTTTTTGAGCATCATTGCTCTTCTAGGACCCCAGCTTGCATATTAATTTAATCTGTTGTATATTCACACGGCCGTGCAATAAAGGTTGTTCTTCTGCTTTTCTTCTTCTTCTTCTTTTTTCTTCTTCTTCTTCTTCTTCTTCTTCTTCTTCTCTTTCTTCTTTCTCTTCTTCTTCTTCTTGTTCTTTGTTTCTTTTTCTTCTTTTTCTTGTTATTGTTGTTGTTGTTGTTGTTGTTGTTGTTGTTGTTGTTGTTCTTCTTCTTCTTCTTCTTCTTCTTCTTTCTTCTTCTTCTTCTTCTTCTTCTTCTTCTTTTTCTTCAGCATTGGAACCCTTGAGTTTCATTGCCGCAGATACCATCAGCTACAATTGATCTCTCTGGCTGGTCTTCTCTTTTCCTTTTCTGTATACAGTAGAACCTCGCTTAACGAGCATCTCTCATAACGAGTAATTTGCATAACGAGCAAAGAAATTGTAAAAGAATGACTTGCTTAACGAGCGACGTTTCGCATAACGAGGAGAGTGGAAGTCCTGGATTGTGAGCATGTTACACCAGTCTGTGTTTAGCACTCGTTCCAGTAGCATCGTAGTGTCGCTTGTGATCACACATTTTCTTAAACGTGTGTTACATTGTGATATATGTACATGAATCCTCCAGGCCTACAAGATGACTTCTTTAAAGAATTTAAATTTATCAAGATCCAGTTTCTGCCCCACAACACAACTTCGTTTCTCCAGCTCATGGACTAGCAAGTTATTTCTAACTTTAAGAAGCTCCACACTAAAGCACTCTTCGAGTATTGTTTTCAGGTGACTGAATGGACCAACCTCACTATCAAAGAGTTTTGGAAAAATCACTTCCACATCGTTGCCTGCCTTAAGAAGATCGTCAAGGCAGGGAAAGGGGTTACCAATAAAACCCAAACTTCTGCTTGGAAGAAGCTTTGGCCGGAGAGCGTTGTCGATTTGTGACTTTGAGAGTTCGAGACAGTACCTATTTAACATGTAGTCAACGAGATTGTGTCTTTGGCCACTATCATGGGATTGTAGATGGATAACAGTGATATCGAAGAGCTTGTGGAAGAGCACAGCCAAGAGCTGACCACCCAAGAGCTTATGGAGTTACATTGTGTTTCACAGCAAAAAGTTTTGGAGGAAAGTTTGTCAGAGGAGGAGGAGGTAACAGAAAAGCAACAATCTTCTGGCGAAATAAGAGAAATGCTGAAAGCATGGCAAACTGTTGCATCTTACATTGAGAAGCATCACCCTAATAAGGAAGTGGTTGTGCGCGTTGCAAATTTATTTCATGATAATGCTGTGTCGCATTTTCGCCACATTTTGAAGGGTCGGCAAAAACCAAATGTCTCTGGACATCTTTCTAGTAAAAAAAAAAAAAAAATAGCTATGTATCATAATATTTTCGACTTTTTTCTGCAAATCGAATTCGCATTCCAGGTGGGTTCGTTCCGCGTTTAAAGAAAAGATGAAGATGATTCATTCTCCTAAACAATATGTAAATAATTTTCTCTGAATACACGTTATACATAGCATTTTGTGATTATTTCTTTCGACATGAAACGCATTATCGTATGTTACATTAATTTATATGAGAAAAATTGTTTCGCATAACGAGTGTTTCGCTTAACGAGTATGATTCTGGAACGAATTATGCTCGTTAAGCGAGGTTCCACTGTATTACAAACAAAAATAATTGCTATACGCTGTCGGATTATTAATTTTTGGATTTTGCTGCTTCTGCCATCCCCATCCGGTGTTGCCTGATGCGGTCGCATCTTTGTATCATAAAACTTCACGGCATTGTGTATTCAACAGTTTCAATACTTGAATACAGATTTGAACTGAAGTAAATAATTCTACAGCTTAATGTTGGTTGCCTATAAATATATGTATACGCTAAATGTAGCCGATTAAAAAGGTGCGTAAAATAAATGACGGTGCAGAGGCATCATACTTCCTAAATGAGGTCTTGGTTGTGCTGTATTATGCAGTAGTTAAAATCTACTAATGCCTATTAATTTCAATTCCAGCTTTGCATTCACCTTTAGTTTCCTATCTTGGAGTGTAGAGATTTGTAGACATTATCACTGTGGATCTTCTACGTTTGTTCAGCCTTGTTAGAAGAAAAGGCTCTATAATAACCTCGATAACTGCATGCCCCTTGTCTGAGCCTAGTAGACCTGAAACTAACTGCATTAGACCAAATAGTTAAAATACAGCCTTACTAACGATTCACAGACAGAGAAGACACAACCATCCCACGTACCTTGTCACGTTTTGTTTGGTGAGTTTTTATTATTCCAACGAAGGACAGTCCTTCAAGCAGTTACTAAGTTTCTTGGCCTCCCTCTGTGACAATATATATAGAACATAATAATAACAACTTTGATATAAACTGCATCCAGGCAATGTGCGGACACACATACACTCATGCATATATTCACATATAACTATTTATCAGTTAATATCACCAACCCAAGTTAGTTTAAGAAACAAATTTCGCTGAGTACTCAGGCAAAGCCGATAGGTACCATTACCAATGTGAGCAGTTTAAATGTCAAAAACAGAATTCTGGCATAGAGACGCGCGTTTAGTATTTTGAAAGAATCGTTCAACACTACCATGATCGGTAAGTACATTTCAGATAGTTTATGTTAGTCGTTCTTCTTCTTCTTCTTTCCTTGGCCTGAAATACGTTGTGAACATCAGCAAATTTACAATGGGATATAACAATCATATAACATTGCCTTTATAGGTCACTAGAAAGCATTTAAAAGAATAAACCGGATTTTTTTTTTTTGGGGGGGGGGGGGGTGGGGGGGAGATCGTGTGGTCTCGAGGCATGGTGTGCGCCTCGAGTGCTAGAGGTACTTGGTTTAATCCCCGTACCTTTTTTAACTTTGCAAGCCCTTGAGGTTCAAAGGTTCAATACTGCAAAAAACACCTGCCTCCACCCATCTCTGTGACTAGCCTTCTCCTTTGAACTGGCGACTACAATTGATGTGGTCAGGCGTAGTGTATTTTTTCTCTTTACTGTATTTTAATCTACATAAATTCTTCATGATGCGCTGGAGCAGTTGAAATTTTTACCAATTGTTTATTTATTAATTTTTGTTGAATTTATAACAATCTATCAGAGTTTGTATCCTTTTCCTGTCTTGTTAAATCGCCTTGCAGTTTACCTTTCTTTGATTGACAATTAGTTCCAATTATTTTGTTTAGCTGTTTTCTTTGTGTTTCATACTAGGCAAACACTCAACAGCAATTGCAGTATTTATAATTAGAGAATATCTCCTAATTAGAAACGATTTAATCTCGTATAATGAACTGGAAGAAATACATTCAAAAAAAAAATCTCCTAAGGAAAAGGTGAATATAGACTGAGAGGAATGCTAGGGGGGTGACAGGATAAAATAAATTTATCGACTGCCATTATTATCAACAATTTCAAGATATTGCAATAATGGTCCCATCTTAAGAAAAAAAAATAAACCAGCAGAGAAGTGCCAAAAAGGCACTGAAATGGGAAACGGAGGAATGTTAAATGTTGAATCAAAAATCGACATCATAGCACTCAGTACACCCCTATAAGCGCCCCGTTCCCATCTTCAGCAGCAAGCGAAGAGTTCAAATTCCGATGGTACCAGTAACTGTCTGATTGTATATGTCTCGTCGCTTCCATAAGTTTCAAACGTCGGCCAGATCCAATTGTAACTCCCCGCAGTGTCATTCTGTTCAGATCGTAATGATCTATCTGTGCCTTGGCACTGTTCACTCGCTTCTAAAAATCCCTCACAACATCCAGCTTGTCACACATCAATTCACCACCAAGTGACGCAGAACCGGCCAGTCTATTTGCCTACTCATTTCCCAACACACCATAACCTGAAGAAAATATCCTAAGGATGAAAACTACCTAGGACCTCTGAAGTTATGATTGCCACTCTTCACAGAGCGTGCCTGTCTTCACCTTTCTCAACATGCTCTCTGAGTCAGTTACAATGACGGCATGTGTGTACAGCTGATTCTCAAGCCAGCGAAAGGCAGCAGTGACTGCCTCTACCTCAATTCTCAAACTAGACGTTGTGATGCGGAAATGATCGAACTGAGGCATCGACAACGTCCAAGTAAAACCCTAATGCTAATTTTATGAGAGAAGCCAAAGGTCTTGGACTGAATTCCTTTTATACAATCGAAGTTACTGCACAGGTAGAAAAGAATTCAAAATTCGACTGCAAGCCATATCTAACATATGATGGGGGAAAATGACTGGGAAAACAATAATGTAAGTTTCATAAAATTAACTATGGTGTCCTTGCCAGAGCAGAAGCTACTTTTTGCTGTATGGCTATCCCAGCAGGAGAAGATCTCCTTTGTCTAAAGTCTTTTAAAAATCGCGTTATATTTACTTTAGGTAATGTAACACTTAGAGGACTGAACTGCCAACACAGTTTCATCTCAAATCCTAGAGGACTGAACTGCCCACACAGTTGTATTTAAAACCCTCCTGTTACAGTCCCTCGCATTCCCCGGTGGTATTTATTCTCCTGTCCTATGCGTCTCGTCAGTCTACTGACCAGACATATAACTGTCTACTGCAAGATACTAAGCTAAGTGATTTTTGTGTATTTGTGTGGTATTGTTTTATGTATGTATTTATCTGGGCACATGGATAACATCAGATGGAAGATGCATAACTGAGATAAAAAATAGAATAAAACAGGAAAAAACTGCATTTTATAAAATGAAAAACATCTTGTTCAATATATCCTTGTCATCTAGAGTTAGAAAAAGAATTCTTGCTTGCTACATACATCCAGTTTTGACATATGGCTGTGAATCCTAGACAATCGGTAGGCAGGCCAAACAATTTCTGGAGGCCTGAGAGATGTGGTTTTACAGAACAATGCTTAGAATACCTTGGACAGCCAAAAAGAGCAACCAAGAGGTTTTGAAAGAGGCGGGAGCTCGAAGACAACTTATCACAGTCATCAGGAAGAGACAGTCATCATTTTTTCGGCCATGTTATGAGAAGAGGGAAAACAAAACATGTTGTGACCACTGGAAAGATATGTGGAAGGAGAGATAGAGGAAAACAAAAAGAGAAGATGCTTGACAGTCTTGTTGCATGCCATGGAGGTGTGTCGGCACACGAACTGATACATGCTGCAGGAGATCGCAGATTATGGAGGGGGCATGATCGCCCACGCCAGTCCGCAAGGCACCAGATGATGATGGTGATGAGGATGTATTTGCTAATAAAGGTTAAAAAGCCGCAACGTTACCGTTTTGTTTGTGTTCGTAATATTGTGAAGCTTGCTGATATACTTTTCATTCGGTTTTATATCTTCCTCTGCCTAAAAAAAATCATACAGGATAAAACCTTTTGAAATTGGATCAATTCTATTAATTTTAAACATATTTTTTTTACCTTCTGTTACATAGCTGTCCAAACTGTTCATGTTACTGAGACAATTGTTTTTAGACAAACATAATTTCGCGAGACAGTAATTCAGTCTACTATTAAACAAGAAGTTTATCTAACGACTTATAAATTATACGAAAACATACGTGTACTTTTTAACGCCCAACTTTCGCGCGTCACACCTTCACACTGCAGCCGACACATTGGTGACACGCATTCTGGACAGCGCTGTTCTAGAATATACAAGAATTGCATGAATCCTACATTACAACACATCTCACCGTTAAAATTTTCGCCACTTCCAGTAGTAAATTTAGCTCTGTCTGTTCCAAACATGGCGCCATGCTGTCACTTCCACTGTCCACAAACTGGGAAGCGAGGGAGCGTTTTCCGTGACCCCAGTCAGGTGTGTAGTGAATCTGGCCGTGGCACAATGACGTCAGGCAGGCGACAATCAGAACAAGTAGCGAGAATACACAACTGGACTTCATTGTAACGTGCTGGCTAAACAAATGGAGTGGAAAGTGTACACATGAATTTTTATTGTATCGTAGCAAATATAAAGGACCCTTTTCTATTGGGGTATAGGGCTAGACCTACATATTCTAGATCAATCGCTACTTAGGGGGTGATATGGTCAGCATCACACCGCCCGCCTTTACATCCCAGGACTATACCTGGCGCCCACTCAAAGCTCTGTTACTTGGAGGCTAGGTCATTTTGACAAAAGTTCAGCTCCATGAGGACCCGAAACCACCACCTTCTGATTCGCAAGCAAGCGTCGTGTCACTGCACTATGGCGAGAATGTATAACCTAAAGCATAATAAAAAGAAAAGGAAAGCGAATAAGTAAATGATTTTCAGAAAATACAACGACTGGGCTTTGTATTATAGTGATAAAAGTAAACCACGAAGGCTAGCAAACGTTGGTGAAATTATAGATATATTTCTTTTGCTAATAATCATCCATTTTTATTTGGGAAACATGTGAGATAAGGTTAGTTGCGTATCCTTTACAGGACGTTGCAGAACCAACCCCAACAGCCCCTGGCTATTGTGTGGTTTTTCTAGGCAAATTAACGTCCAGTAGTTTGCCATTGCTTTTGGATGGTCGGTTTTTCTCGATACCACTGTCGAAACCAACGCAAGGCCCGCAGCTGGGATTGAACCCGGCATCCCGGCATTACGAAGCGTTCGCATCGACTTAGCCATAGAGCCGACAACATGTGAAATACTCAGATAATTTGGTCAAAAATGGTATAACACAAAAGCACAACTGGTATAAATTTAAGCAAACAAATTCTGCCGTAGAAAGCTAAGAAGAATAAGAAAAAGGTAATGAATCCGATCAGTCCTCATGGCGACATACCGAACACAACCATTCTGCAGCAAATAATCTACTCGAGAAGGTTTTAGTTCACAGGAAAATTATGAACCATGAAAATCTTGTTTGTTCTCCCAACAGAAAATCACTGCTCTGTGCCCCTTGCAAATTATTCGGTGGTGCATCTCTGTAGGACCGAGCCATGCTGTCATACGATTAGCTGAATTGTAGAATTATTCTCATCGAGAATGCTTGTAACAAACTTAAAAAACAGGGGAGAAGGGATGATCAGAATAAAAACAAAAACAAATCGATAACTTAGCCAGTATGAAGGTGAAGTTATATATTTGAGAAATTTGTTAAAAGGAGTTGTTTCTTTTTGTTGCAAAGCGTGGTGTGGGTGCGCTCGCGTGTGTACGTGTAATATAAATAATTACGGTACTACTCAAGAACAAGGGGCCAGAGAGTGAGTGACTTCCCTAGCTATTCATCACTGGTCGTGTCGTAGGGCCTGTCCTATGATGCGGGAGTGTCATGCTCAGTGAGCATCCAGCAACACACAGAATTATATATCTTTCTGAGCCCAAATTCTTGAGGGGTTCCATAATGTTTTAATTCAAACTTGTAATAAACACATAACTCTATACCTGGAAACTTGAGACGAACTGACTGGATAGTATATGCTTGCAGGACAATAGTAAGAACTCTAGTTACCTAGACTGTTATCCGCTTCTAAATATTTTAGCATGTTACTCTGACAAAGGAGATCACATAAGTCACTGATGAGTAGATAATACAAATACACTGTTACCCTAATTGTCAGTAACACCTCTGCATTTATACATCGCACCGGTACATAAAAATAAGTATGCTTAGTAAAAGTTCAAGAACATTGCAGCTTTCACAGCAAAACTAGCAGAATCAACTCACACAGCAGTTCCTGGCAAAGCTACACTTAGCGAGACAGCAGGCGGTCACCCAGACTGAGGAACGAAGCTAGAATTTATATAGTTCCTTCCCAAAGAGCCGACTCAAACTAAGCTGGCGTTGCAGATGGCAATTTTAATTGCGTCAGTTACGGTAGACTTGACACACTACCCTGGCTAGTATAAACAAAACTGAGTGGTTAACAAGATCCCACGTGGTGATTGCAAGAATGAAACTGACAATGCTACTCACGTGGCAACAAATGTATTGACTTTGAAGGTCTGAAAGTGATATAAATTTCCTACCTTCAGAATGCAGATAGACAAGGCAATGAAACTGACAGAATTCGTCATGCGGTAGGTTGTTAGATATGTATGTTTGTGTGATACACCCACATGCGTACACACAGACACAAACACACACACACACATATACTTTGAAATATATATACACACACACACACACACACACACACACACACATTTACATATACATAGTATAAGCGTTTATATATGTACGCTTATTGGAAACTTCTATTTTGTGTTTTCAAATGGGCATTGCATTTTAATTTACAGTTCTTTTGATCTTGCACGGGGAGGATGGCGGGGGGCGGGGGGGGGGGGGGAAAAAGGGGGGGGGGGTGTTTCGCAAGGCTGTTGATTATTACATTAACCTGGTTTTTTCTTCCAACTGACTGCGGTAAAGACAGCAAGGAGTGTTTAAACTGAGAAGAGTATGCTGACAATTATCACCGTCCTGCTATCTCTCAAACTGATCGCAAGTAAAAGAGTAGAAGCGGTTAGCTGCACGATTGACTGACTGACGTGTATCTCTACCAGGATCGCATGACGAGCGAAAAACACCCAGTGACACAAAGTGCCACCACTAGGATAAAAATCACCTTGGCTCGAGTCACAAAACCACAGTTCAACCATCAGAAGAAGAAGAAAAAGAAGAAGAAGAAGAAGAAAAGAAGAAGAAGAAGAAGAAGAAGAAGAAGAAGAAGAAGAAGAAGAAGAAGAAGAAGAAGAAGAAGAAGAAGAAGAAGAAGAAGAAGAAGAAGAAAAGAAGAAGAAGAAGAAGAAGAGGAAGAAGAAGGAGAAGATGAAGAAGAGGAAGAAGAAGAAGAAGGAGAAGAAGAAGAAGAAGAAAAAGAGGAGGAAGAAGAAGAAGAAGAAGAAGAAGAAGAAGAAGAAGAAGAAGAAGAAGAAGAAGAAGAAGAAGAAGAAGAAGAAGAAGAAGAAGAAGAAGAAGAAGAAGAAGAAGAAGAAGAAGAAGAAGAAGAAGAAGAAGATGATGATGATGAAGAAGAGGAAGAAGAAGAAGAAGAAGAAGAAGAAGAAGAAGAAGAAGAAGAAGAAGGAGAAGAAGAAGAAGAAAAAGAGGAAGAAGAAGAAGAAGAAGAAGATCAAGAAGATGAAGAAGCTGAGCGGGGGGGGGGGGCGTGGGGCGTGTTGCAGCAGCAACAGCAAAAACAGAAGTAGCAGTAGTAGTAATAGTAGTAGTTGCAGTAAGAGAAGTAGTAGCAGTAGTAAGTAGCAGTAGTAGTATTATTTGATGTTATTATTATTGTGGATTTATTGCCTGTTCGCTTGCATCTAGCGTTTTTGTGGGATATATTGTTTCTTGAGTCTACTTTTGTTTTGGTAGGTATCGTCGGAGATGCTTTTTGTTTGAGCCTTTTGTGGGTCCCTCTTTATTCAGAAAACACTGGTTATATTACTGCTCTTTCGAGGCCTACTGTTTTTCGCTTACATTTGACCAATTTTTCCCGGTTTCCTGGACATAAAAAATTGATGAGTTAAGTTTTCTTTGCTGTCTTTGTATACTTTCAAGTTATTTTGCTTCTTATGAATCAATGGTATTCAAACGGCAATTCTATAAATTTAACACCTGAATTTATTTGTATTTACCATGACGTTTTCGATGACACATCAATATGGTAAAAAGACTGGGGGGGGGGGGAGGGGGGGGGGACCGATCTGGTTCATGCAAAGAAGTGCAGTGTTTATGAGTATTAGTGCATCTATTTCGCCTGTCCTAATTAACACTTTGTTGGATGTTAAACGTAGTATTTCGTATAGGTTCTCTTGATTTGCCACACAGGTTTCAACTCTTTAAGTTGCACGAGAAGTCAAACCAGAAAGCAGCCCACCGTTTGAAAACTGTATAGCTTAATACAGTAATTAAAAGAAATAATAATTTGCAAGAAGTCTCCTTAATATTTATTTATTATCATTATTATTTATTAACTTTGTCTGCTACAGATTTGCAGATCACAGAAAGGCCCGTTTAACCAAATAGTCATACAGCACGGAATAATGTTGGGCCACAAACAGGTTTTTGAAATAACCCGTACATCCGTGTGCTAAAGTCTTTTGATGTCTGTCTGTCTGACTGACTGACTGACTGATTGACTGACTGACTAACGTTCAACCCCACCAGAACAGACACAGCGAGTAATAAACACCCGATGACCATTGGGGTTAGAATCACTCGGAATTCGAGGGACGAAAATATATTCAGTAATTCTACACAATTAAATCGGATTAGATCTGACAGTACGCCCTTCTGGTGAGTTTCATTCAGCCCCACCAGGACCCAATCCTTTACATGACGTTGCTGAACCAAACCCAGCATTTTCTGGCTGTTGTGGTTTGTCTAAGGAAATATTAAGTTCATTTGTTTGCTATTGGCACTGAACGGTCAGCTCTTAGTGCCACTGTCGAAGCCAATGCAAGGCGAATCGTCCGCAGCTATGAACGAACCCGGCATCCCGGCACTACGAGTGCGTTCACAAAGCCTAAGCCACAGACACACGACCAGGTCCCCATAAGGAGCGACATAAACTCGGTGACACAAAGTGCTACTGTTCGGTTAAGAATCACTCTGGTACAAGTCCTAGAAACGCCGATCAACCTTTAGGTTATATTAAAACCCAGGACCACAGTCGGGTCGGCGTCTGTGGCTTAGGCGTTGCCAACGCGCTTCGTAATGCCGGGATGCCAGGTAGGATCCCAGCTGCAGGCCTTTGCGCCTTGCGTTGGTTTCGACAGTGGTATCAAGAAGCCGAACATCCAGAAAGCAATGGTAAACTACTGGACGTAAACTTGCCTAGAAAAACTCCAACAGCCAAAATATGCTGGGGTTGGTTCTGCAACGTTCTGTAAAGGATACGAAACTAACTAACTACAGTAACCTGCGTTTTTTTATTGGTGGTATTGTTTACCTTACGCTCTA